CTGCCTATCGAATCAACTGAGAGAATCAACTCCGTATGTACATGTAGGTGATGAAAAAATATTGCTGCATAAATAAGGGAAGTTGACGATTGTAAACTTAAAGTCATCTCGTTTATCATAGATCTTGGTTGTTAGATTACCACGGACATCTTTCTTAATTAAAATATCTAAATGTGAAACAGATGTAAAATGTAAAACTTGCTACTTGGAAAATTGCTATTTGTTTGGACAGATTTCAATATGTCATCAATAATTACTAATTGAATAAAGATTTAAAAATACGGTGTAAAGGGATATGGCGAACATTATTCAAGCTCAAAATCAATTCAAAAAATACAAACCAGGAGCAGAGCAAACATGAACCGCTTGAACATAAGAGGTGGGATCAGGTAAATGACATATAAAGCGTTTTCCGCAGACTGGTCAAACCCGCCGTGTGCTCAATGTCGTGATTGCACCCCCCCCCCCCCCCCGGAAAATGAAGAATATAAAATATGTAAATAACGACCCAATAATAATATTGTATGAAAAAATTCACTCAACAATTGACTCCATGTTAAGTTGATTTTGTTGACAAGTTCACATTTTCTACTAAGAACCATGCGAGATGAAGATTTCAAATAAAAATGCTGAAATTTTCGTTTCATTAACTTGTTTGTCAATACATATTATTAAAATTATTTTGTTAAAAACATTCTGATTTTACACACAAGTATTCTGAAGTTGACAACAAAAAGATGACTGTGTCTTGACAATATCTATGTTGTTTCTGGAGACCAGGTCTTCCAACAATCTACTGGAATTTCCATGCGGACCAATTGCGCCCTGTTATTAGCAGACGTAATGTTGTATTCATTTAAAGCAAAATTTGTCCAAAACGTGAAAAGAAGAAATCACTTGTCGAGGCATTCAACTCGACATTGAGATATATCGACGACGTATTGTCAACTAACACTGGTCATTTCCATTCCTATGTCGATACGATATATCCCGGTGAGCTTGAGGTGATCATGGTAATCTAATAACCAATCGTGAGAAATTCGTCATTCGTCAATTTTCTTACTTATGCAGCAATATACCTTCATCACCTGCATACGGAGTTTATATATCTCAGTTGATTCGATACGCAAGAGCATGCTGTTTGCATGAACAATTCCTTAAAGGATGTAAATTATTGCCAACAAGTTGATCAAACAAGAATATGGGCAGTCTAGTTTAAAGTAATCATTTCGTAAGTTCTATGGTCGATACAAAGACCTTGTCAGCAAATACAATTTATCATTGAGTCAAATGCTGACTGACGTTTTTTCATACTTATTGTTAGCACATCATTTGTACGCTGAATTGAAGGAAGACGTTTTTTACGTTATTTTCCGATCATGACAATGAACAAACGGAGGGTATGACCGTCCGCAGGGGATGCTTACTCCTCCGAGAGACTTGATTCCAACTCTGCAGTTTTGGAGGTTCGTATTTGCTCTGTTTCTATTTTGTTTTATGGACTTTTGATCTTGAATGCTGTTCGTTATCTCCACATATTTCTCTTTTTTTGCTGTGGCATTCCTCCTCAACGTTTAACTAATTAAACATACATGACACTAGCTATTATAGTAATACAGTATACCTTCGTATAATTATGTTTCACCACGATCATTGCCCTTGCAATCATGTTAACGTCTGATCCTTCCATCCAAACAATTTACACGTTCTTACAATTATCTAACAACTGTTTGATTATTCTTTATAAATATAGTTGCATTGCGCCATTTCGTATGGTATCGCAGATTGAAACTTTATGATTTTTAATCTTCGAGGGTTGTCCGGTAAAAACGTGGACAAGATGTCTGCATTGAAAGATTATCACCACTGTGTTCTAAAAATGTTTACTACTCTTTAGTACGTGTTTCATAAATATAGATAACAAATTTGCATGAATAAACAAATTATGAAACTTAATGGTATGTGTTGTATCGCCCTACGGCACAGTGATGATAATCTTAGTGTTTAAAGCAGCATCACGTTTCCTCTTTGCTGAAATATAGTTTGATAAGTCCTACTAAATTTTACGAATTTCATAGATTCCTCCAAAACAGTCGAGAAACCAATCTCACACACCCATGGGGCTTTCCGAAGATTTATTATAAAGTTATGGACAGTATCATAACTACCACTCAACAAAACAGACAAATCTTACATCCACGGTCTACAGTGACAGCGTCTTTCATGTTTGTCCGTATGTTTTGTTCTACCCGGGGACTCGATCAAAAATATTTCACTTCCAAAGCTCCAATTTATATTGTATACTTAAGATTATGTGATATTTTTTCTTATATTTTTTCCCTTCTGTTTTCATTTAAAGTTTCTTAGGGTGTCATTACTACATCCAAATCAAACTGAACTGCTTTTTGGTTTGCCGCATCGCTTCAAACGTCATCATTTTTCGTGTGTTGTCTTTATCACTTTCCCGTTTCAAATGCTCGGGAAACTGCCAAAAATTTGAGCAAATGCCTAGGAAAAGACAACACAATAGACAGGGAACTGAAAACAATTTTTAATTCAAACTTTTCTATTTAATAGTTTTATTTCGAAAAAAATAACCGTGTATTCGATAATGAAAGCCTGTTTTTTACCGTGAGCCGTAGAACCGTACCCTATGCACATTCAAGCATTATTAATCTTAAGTTTTTCAATATGTTATCAAACAAATTATTGAATATGATAAATAAACAAGCTAATTCAGAGAATTCGTGTCCCCCGCTTTGGGAAAAAGTCGGATCCCCCTGACTGAATTTGTAGAATTATCAAATGTATACATGTATACTGAAGCAAATAAAATACATGTATGTCAATATGCATATAAAGATTTGATTGCTTATTTTTTATTATGTGTATAGAAGATTTTTTTTTTATATGGAATATTTATTATCACACTGTAATGATGATTTTATAACCTCATAAATTTTTCATTTCACATGCTGAATACTATCATTTAGTAAAAAAAAAAAGTATTTAAAAAAAAAAAAGAATGGATTGACCGAGAATCGATCCCGGGACCTCTCACATTTGAAGCGAGAGACATAACCACTAGACCACGGAATCGCTGTGCTCGGTGTGAAGTATATGCAGAACTGAAGTCACATACATGTATATATTCATGTTTTCATGTTCGGTATTCTCAAAATTTTACACAATCCATGGTGTTTGATTTATTTAGCCTTTATTAAACAGTTCTAATAAATGTAATAAGAACATAAAGTCCACCGAGAACCTGTTTTATACGCAATAACTCATCTCATGCCCCTGCGCTAAAAATAGCGACATGTAATACTATAAATACTAATAAAACAAACGGGGCGGGACACTTTGAGAGGGGCGAGAGACGTCCTAGGGAGTTTTGGTATAAAATTACATTGCATAAGGTCAAAATCTTCTTGAAATATCGCCCGGAAATGATAGTGTTACACAAAGACAGAATATATAAATTTACGACCTTGAACTTTGACCTTTTGACCTCAAAATCAACAGGGGTCTTCATTAGGCCACTGGGAGTTGTTATGTAAAATTTCATTGCAATAGCTCAAATGGTTCTAGAGATATCGTGTGGAAACGAAAGTGTTTTAACAGACAGAATTTGCTTATTTATGACCTTGACCTTTGACCTTTTGACCTCAAAATCAATAGGGGTCTTCTTTAGTCCATAGGGAGTTGCTATGCTAAATTTCATTGCAAAAGCTCAAAGGGTTCTCGAGATATCGTGTGGAAACGAAAGCGTTACAGACAGACAGAAAGACGGACGGACGGACGGACAGACGGACGGATGGACGGACGGACAAACCCAAATTAATATCCCCCACTTTTCAAGCGGGGGACAAAAATCGAGGAAAATTATGTACGTTATTTTTATTGTCATTTTATCAAATTATGTTGCTCTTAGTTCCACCTGAATACTAAAATTTTTTTTGTAAATTCTGCATATATATAATACATCAGACTTATCAATTATTGCAGAATCATTATTACGTACTTTCAATTTTTTCTCTGTCCAGGCATCTTATAAAGTAAACCACATCTGAAGCTTTTGGAAGCATGTTATACGAACTTAAATTAACAATCAAATAAATTCATTTCAACAGTTAAGTCTTACCCCGAGTTTTACTCTGAAAACATTGATTTGTTCATACATGGATTAGGCTGATCTATGTTTATTGGCTTGAATCTAAAATTATTATTATGTAGCATATGGCATACACCATAAGCGAGAAGACGAAACCAAAATAGCTTTTCCCTCAAATATGAACAGATTAAGATAAAGAAAATCAATGATTTTAGTCAATACTAGAGGTACTGTGAGCAATGAGCTCACTAAATGATACCCCCCCCCCCGCCTCCCATATGAATATAATGGTAGTGTCCATGTTTTGCTCTGGAAAATCAAAAATATATTTCAGATCAAAAAGTAAAATAGGAGGTGCACAATGGCAATATGTAATTAAGAATCTGTGAAAGTTTCATTAAATTTCCTTCCGTGGTATGAGAGGAGTTGCAGATAAGAGATGGGTACCCTAAAGCGTAACAGACGGACGTACAGACGGACAGACGGAAATACCGATTACTATATACCCTCCCACTTTTCAAGCGGGGGGTATAAAAATAGTAGGTTTGTCTCATTTCAAGCGAAACAAATATACTCTTCCTTTCTTGATGTTGATTTAGTTATCGATATTTATAATTCTAAATAAATTTCATTTTGCTTAACGCCACTCTTGAGAATTTTTTACTCATATCTTTTAAAATAATCTATGTGCAATATGTTATAAAAATAACCCTTTTCCTAAAAATAAAATGTTTTGATATTTATAAATTTTTACTTAATGTATGAAGAGAAATCTAAGTGTTTGGCAGAAAATGTGATAATTTGATCTTCGTAACATTATCAAATCACCCACATGTATAAACATAGGTAATTCGAGATTACAGAGCTCATCACAACGAATGTGAATCTTTGCATCATCAACACTCCTAAGTATTGAAATATTGCTTCATTACTAATGATGAACAGTCACAAACCCTTAAAACTCCAAAATATTGCCAATTGTTTTGTTAATCATGCAATTTTTTATTTCTGTTAAGCAGACTTAAACTTGACTTTCGGTAATAGTATGAAAGTCGTTCAACCGTTAGATTTCCGATATTTACAAAATTGAAGATATCTATACTTTTTAGATAAGAAATCCTTTAGTATATATAATTATTTCTCCCTAAAGTATAGTGTTGCGTTTCTTTTGCGTGTCAGTATATTTTAAAATATTTGTCACATCAGTTTGCAAGAACGTTACCACTCTGAATATTACAGCTTGAGTAAGTGATTGCCACAACTTTATTGGAACCTTTATCGATGCAAGAATTACAAAATCTAAAAAGTTTGTCATTTTACTCGAAGTTTTAAGCATTTTGAGGTACACTCTCATCTTTTAGACGTAGAAAAAAAATAAGATCCTCCAGTTGCAAAAGATGCCTAAGATGTAAATATAGCTCACCGAAATTAAAACAAAAATCATGTATAAACATTGCATACAAACATACACCGTGGGAAAAAACTGTAAACATAAAATAGTGTACAATATATGAATAAGATTTTTCGAAAACAATAAAACCATTCTTGTCCGAAAAATCAAAGTCTGCATGAAATATAATCCTTTCATGTGAAAATGACATAAAGAGGTCGGTTCACTTTATGCATAAAATGACCCTGTAGATATACCAATTGATTGTCTTGATTTTCCATTTGAAGCATTAAAATAAAATAAAGACTTAGTGCTTTCACATCGTATTTAAAAATAAGGTAAACAGCTCAACTGAGTACTTTCAGTGAAGAAAAATAATACGAGCGCACTCTCTGATCTAAAAAAATAAAACGTGTCTTTTAATCCTCAGAAATAGTTCTATCATTTACTAGATGCATATTTTTGATCAGAAGTTGCGCTCTATATTAAATATCGAAAAATAGCTTTTAAAATTGGCCGTTTTGTCGACTTTTTCAGAATATGAGGAAGTTGACGCATTTCGTGACGTCATAATGTATTGACTAGCCAAAAAATTACGTCATTTTTTATCGATACGAAGTCATCAAAGATCTAAGTGATATTCAATGCATTGTAAACTAAAACTATGCAGTTTCAGTTTTTCAGAAATTCACAGGGCCAAATTAGGCAAAAGTGAACCTTGTTCTTTGCATTATCAAAAGAAACATGTAAAACTTCATGAATTTCTATGCTAAAATGAATAAAATAAATATTAAGAAATCTACTGGTGTAGATATAATATCTGTTAAAAATAAAATTTTGAGCACCTGTTCTTAGTAATCATATTTCTATTCTTATTGATCAATCAATACAAAATGATACTTTTCCCGATAGACTTTTACATGTACAAGGTCAGGTCATCCCTTTGTACAATAAAGATCCTCTGTAAAATTCTTGTTTTATTCATATTTTTTTCAAAGTAGATTATTTATCTCCGAAGTAAAAAATGTCAATGTATACTCTAAAAGAATACTGATATTTTTTTCAAAGTGCGTTGAATATTTTTGGCCAAATTTAACGCACTTAAAATATTTTTCAAAGTGCGCTATTTTGTTCTATTGATTTTTTATATATATATTTTTCAACTGCATACATGACAAAACAGGAAAAAGATATAAATGAAACGTGATACTTAACATACATACTAAAGTTCAAAACAATGATAGATTGTTTTTCCTCTTTGCACCTGAAAGACATGATGGACTTCATTATCATAAACAAACAATTTCAATGATAAAGAGAAGCGTTCACTACTATTTGTTTTCTTTTGTCCTTCCTGTAGATCTTAAAAGGAATAAAGGTCATCATCAGAGTCATAAATATAACCAGGATAGTGGTCATAGCCATAATCGTCACCATATGAATATGAATCGTCGTCATACATTGGTGGGTAATCCGAATTATAATATTCATCATAATCATCGTCGTCTTCAGAATCTTCAGACGTGCTTAAATACGCAGACATACTAAAAGAGAAAGTTTTCTTTCATTTTTTTAAAAATAAATATCTAAATTATACATAAACATATATTGTAAAAATTTCATGAAAAATTTCACTTTATTGATATTCACTCGTTTTATTATAGAAAAAAGGTTTTTGTCATACCTTTCTTCTTTCTCTATTTGTATTTTTTCCACTTCTTCCATGTGTTCTCTCAATGACAGAAACGTCTTAATTCGGTTTGGAAGAGGAAGTCGCATTATCTTTGATTCAATTTCAGCTCCTTGCCCAACATTGATCAAATGATTTCGTATGACATCTTTACATAAAGATGACAAAGAAAAATCGACTTCTTGAAATATCTCCAAAAGTTTTAAAAACTCCTTCTTTTCATTTTCGCAGCAAACTCTTTTATGCCATCTTTTCTTAATCAAGAGAAATGAATTCGCAGGCTGTTCTAGGTTACATTTCTTGAAATCCTCATCATTTTGGAAGTCATATCCACATTTTATTAATGCTCCAGCTGCTTTTAAGTAGCCATGTTTTGTTAAGTAGGACAATATTGATTCTTCCTTATTGCTGTTAAAATATCAATAATAGAAGAAGTATTCATTTTATATAGATAATGTAATAATTCGTTATAATTGTAATGTTCGGAGAATTCTTAAGAATTTACTAGTTAAAATTGTAAAGAACCCGGTAGACTGGATATGTTCACCAAACGATCTCCTATAGTCTGTTCTAAACGAGGCCCAATCTAGTTGGAAATTACGAAAACTAAATGATAAAAAAATTAATTCTTAGAAATTTATTTGTATGCATTATGCAAAGAAAAATTAGAATGAAATTTTGTTACATGCCTTTTTTGTAGTCAAATTGTGGCACATTCAAGACATGGATCATTTTTTTTTTTGTGTTTTTACACACAATTACAATTAAAAAACAAAGGAATCGACAAATTAAAAAAAAAATGCATGATGAAATGTTTTGTTTTATACATATATCATGCAATTTTCATTCAGTTTTGGGGATAAACAGAAGTCAATATTTTGTCACACGATAACATTAGCCATCCTTTGACTTGGTTCATTTTCCAAACTTGAAAAACACACCTTTCAGAAATAAGAAGAAAGTCCAGAAGATCATAGGATCTGCCATAATTCAGTATACGAAGGACCAAACTCAAACAATTAGTTCCAAAACGATCAGAAATTAGATGAAATGTTCCGGGCATGTGTTTTAATCCAAAGAGAATATTTCAGTGAAATCATTCAGACTAAATTATTGAAAAGCGTCTTTTGCTTCTTTCCGAGCACCGAGGACATTATTTATTAAACAGCCCTCGTATTAACTATAAAACATAAGTTTTATTACATTGGACAATTTTTTTGTATACTCATCAACACATATTCTCCAAGAATTAGGGGGGAGTGAAAGCTAATGCTCATAAAGTGATGTGCATGAGTGTAATCTCGAAAATTTGCATTTAAAATATTTCATTAAGTTTGAGAATAAAAGAAAATCACTGAAAACTTATAGCTAGAAAGTTAAAACAACTTAAATTTAAATCAATCAGATTTTAGCACGCTTGAACTTTCTTTTTATTCTGACGATTCCATTTTTTAATTTGCAATATTCATATACACTCTGAATTTCGTCTTCTTTTGATTACTCCTCAGAGAGCTATAAAACATGCACATATAATCTTAACAAATCAAATTTCAGCACACGCTTACACGCATTTTCTAAATTTCACACACAGATACATTTGTAATGGCTTAAAGTATATATCCCACATGAACTTGGGACTTCTCATATTCGTTTGAAATATTATTCCTGTTATTTTTCTCGATCTGATCGTAAGAAATATTAAAAACGACATTTTATCTTTATACACAACCATTCCCCACGATAAATTAAAGTCTAGATTTTTTGAAAACATTGACAGCTGATTTTTTTAAAACTAAAAATGGCACTCGTAGCTAACCTCGTCATTGGTCATTGGCAAAATTATTTTTTAAACATATTCTGACTGCTCACACAAGTACCTATACATGTACTCTGAAATTGACACAAAAATGTTTGAGTTTCTGATTGACAATATCTATGTGGTTTTGTGAGACCAGGGGCCTGTTTCACAAACGTTTCCTAAGATACGTCGTTAGACATACGTGTAACTTAAGATATGCCTAAGTTATAAATTAGGAAGTTCCTAAGATTTGTCACAGCTGTTTCACGGAACAATCTTATCTCTAATTTTTCGTAAGTCATTTCTTACGTTGTGCCTCTATATTGACTAATGAAATAATTTCGTCGCTCTATCTACAACACTCAGTATGTCAGTATGGTTTATATTTTCAGCTTCAAAAAGGGAGGGGAAGGAGGATTGGAAATTGCAAGTACTTGTACTTTCAAAGGACTTGGACAAAAGTTTTAACTTCGCGAAGTTTGCTGCTAGAACTAAGCATTCACATACAAACTCTTTCAAGCCCTCTTCCCTTCCGGGCACATATTTTTATTTTTTTTAAACATTGTCCTACGTGTTATACGTTTACTTTTTTAAAATTTGATTTTTATAAGGTATCGATCCCAGGTATTGTTTTTACTATACTTTTCTACTTGTCAATTATTAAATGAAATTCAAAAATAATTGCTTCGCATAGCGAACACATATAGGAGGGCATTTAAAAAAAATTGTTTGCCAATGACTACTCCACGTTAGTTGTTTGTGCTGGGTAAAGCTTTCTCACACGTAATATATTATACATCAATATATTATATATTATATAATAAGGATGCCATGCCAGAAAAAAAATTTACAAAATTCGCGACTACAGGTATGAAAATACTAAAAGACGAAGTTAACAAGAGGCCCATGGGCCACATTGCTCACCTGAGCACTAACGGTAGGAAAAAGTAGAAAATGGCTTTTTATTGTAAAGTTTAAATCCAAAACTAGTCCCATGACCAATCATGGATTTGCTATTTTTTAGAAAACGATTTTCAAAGAATTTTCCTATACATATATATCTTTAAAACCTTTGGTCGGCCATTTTGGCTATGCCCTACTCCTGGGGGTCATGATTTGAATAAATTTGAACCTACAAGACTTAAAAATTCTTCCATATAAATATGATGAATTATGGCTTTGTCATTCTTGAGAAGATTTTTAAAGAATTTTCCTATATTATTCTATGTAAAACTTTGGTCGGCCATTTTGGTCCCGCCCTACCCCCGGGGGTCATGATTTGAACAAACTTGAATCTACACTACCTGAGCATGCTTCCATATAAATATGATGAATTATGGCTTTGTCATTCTTGAGAAGAAGATTTTTAAAGAATTTTCCTATATATTTCTATGTAAAACTTTGATCGGCCATTTTGTCCCCGCCCTACCCCCGGGGGTCATGATTTGAACAAACTTGAATCTACACTACCTGAGGATGTTTCCCCATAAGTTTCATCGTTCCTGGCACAGTGGTTCTTGAGAAGAAGATTTTTATAATATGCCACCAAATTTTAATTAATTCCCAGTTATCTCCCCTTGAATGAGGGCGTGGCCCTTCATTTGAACAAACTTGAATCCCCTTTACCCATGGATACTTTGTAGCAAGTTTGGTTGAAATTGGCCCAGCGGTTCTTGAGAAGAAGTCGAAAATGTGAAAAGTTTACAGACAGACGGACGCCGGACAAAATGTGATCAGAAAAGCTCACTTGAGCTTTCAGCTCAGGTGAGCTAAAAAAGGAAATCTATTGAAATCTCATGCATTGCTACAAATTGTATTAAGCGAAGAGGAAAACTGGTTGTAATCGCATGGCCATAGGAACTGGAGGAGCACGGGAGGGGGGATAATAATAATTTTACAGAAGTATTGAATACTATAGAAAACAAAACTGCGTTATGCTTGTGTCCCCTCAATAATAACATCCTAAAGGAGATTAAATGCAACCATTCTTGGGAGAAACATCTACTGATATATATCCGGAACTTGGTTGGTGGTTCATCAAGAATCACGTATTTCTCGAAAGTGAACAAATGTTTCCATATATCTAAAATATCATTTTTCTGATTCTAATTTAATATCGATTAAAATACTAGTAATAGATATATAAAAAAAAAAAGTCATTCAGTTGTATGAGAGGAATTGTGGATAAGAGATGGGTACCCCAAACAGACGGACGGACGTACCGATTACTATATACCCTCTCGCTTTTCAAGCGGGAGTATAATATATATACATGTACGTACATGTAGATAAAAACATAATGTATACATGCATGTATAATAATGGATCAAATCATGTGCTATTTTTTTGTTTACAAAGGCGTGCTCTTCAAATGATGGGGAATTATTCCAGCATGTGTACCATTTAATTCGCCAGGTCCAGTGGCCTAAATGAACGGACATTTTTATATACCTTGGACAAATTTTCACACATGTTTGCCTAGCAATTCCATGCAAAGTAAAGCAGTTTTAACCTGGAGAAAACACAATCATTCATATACTAGTAGTCCATTGGATTTTCTCTCCCCAAACACATTCTCTCTCTCCATAAGAAATCTTGGATATGCAGTCGCAATATTTAGTTTCTTCCTAAGTCATCGATTTACCTGTCCTAAAGTTATGACATAACTTAGGAATATCCTAAGATAAGACGAGGTTAGTGAAACGGATAAGTAATGAACTTAAGAAAAAGTTCTTGTCTAAGATATAACTAAGTTCTATGTAAGCTTTGTGAAACGGGCCCCTGGTCTTCTAACAATCTATTGGAATATCCATGGTTACAAATTGCGTGCCGTTATTAGCCGACCTATTTTTGTATTCATATGAAGAATATGTGCAAAATCTTATGCCTGAAAAGAAGAAAACACTTGTTGTGGCCTTTAAGTAAACAATTAGATATATCGACGACGTAAGATACCACAGAGTATGACACATCTATTTAAAATTAGGATATTTCACTTGAAAAAGACGTTAATGATTATCTCACAACAAAGTTCTTGATAAAAGTGATGACTTTAATTTTTCGATCGTCAACTTCAGATACTTATGCAGAAATATACCTTCATCACCTGCTTTAAATCACTAGAATAAGACGCAAAGACGATTTCCATGTGACTGTGGTTGTTTGACTTTGAGGAGTAAGAAGCCCCTTGTTAATTGGACACAAAGGCCGTGGGTCCTATGCATTGACCATTTAGACGATCGGAACATTTCGTAATAAATTTCAGTATTAAAACAAAGGCCTTATGATTGATATTAAATAGGTCTGCAGAACTAAGATCCAACGGTTAAATTTGCTAAGATCTTTATAGGTATGTACATAAAATGAACGAAATGCTGACATTAATAAAGGTTGTTGAAATCCCTGTAATGTTAACTTATCAATCAGTAGCCGGTCTTAGTTTAGGAATTGATAGTCTTCAGAGCATGCTCTTGAGAATCGAAAAAAAATTGAAGGATTAAATTATGTTAATAACGGGGGGAGGAAAGATGACATTAGAAAAGCTGAAGTGAGCAGATGTGACAAATAATGTACAACTATGTATTGACTTACTTCAAATTTACTGGAATAT